GCAAGGGGCTCGGCCCTCGCAGCCCTGGCTTCGTCCGGAAGGCCATCTGGAAGGATCTCCGGAAGGTCGTTCGGCTGTCTGGTCTCACTAGCATATTACACTTTTATTATTATAGATTGTTATTGATTTCAGAGAGGAAGGGGGAGGGAGAGAGAGATAGAAACATCAATAATGAGAGAGAATCATGGATCGGCTGCCTCCTGCACGCCCCACACTGGGGATGGAGCCCGCAACCAGGGCATGTGCCCTGACCGGGAATCGAACAGTGACCTCCTGGTTCATAGTTCCATGCTCCACCACTGAGCCACGCCAGCCGGGCACCATTTCTAATTTCCACAAGGACAGAATCCTGCCACACTGACTTAACTGTCTTCTGCTGTGATTAACACGAAAGGGGGTGTGTCTCTTTTCGGATCAGGCCTTCCTAGAGATGGATGGGCCCCCTAAAAACTGCACATTGACCACAGAACTGACTGGCGGATCGGAATGACTAACCTTCTCCCACGTCGGGCTAAGTCGATATTGGAGGATAAAGCGGAAGTTTCCACATCTCGTTACTAATCTCCACTATTCAGGTTTCAGAATTGAATTCTGCATTAAGACGATGCTAACCGTTTAATTGCCCACCATGGGAACCGCGGGTAGAATAACAGAACAGTGTGTCTTGTCCAATACGCACACAGGGCTACTTCTGTAGGCTCACAGGGTGGAGGGGGCCAGAAAACCAGCGGGTTAAAACAGGAAAACATCAGCCTCCAAAACGTGAACTTGGAAATCAGGGCATGTCGTTTGGGAATGAGCCTCTAGTCTTCCCCCCCCCCCCGCCATGCCTATCCGCAGACTCCAACTCACCTCATAATCAACCTTGCCAGCTAGTGTTTGCATATTTTCCTGGTTTTACCATTTGTCTCCATCTACAAACATCACACCCCCAAACTTATGAAGCACATTATTTTTGCATTAACTCTCCCCACTCCCCATGAACAAACATGTTCTCATTCCATTTAACGAAGGAATGGAAAATAAATAACACAGAATGCTCTCTATTCTATAATTATTATACATATTTGCAGCCCTGCTCAGCAGAAATATTTGTCTAGTACCCACCGCCCACCTTGAATGCAAGAGTGACACGTAATATTCATTTTGGCATCATTGGTTTTTCATCTCTGCAAACAAACCTGGTTTTGTTGGGGTTTTTTTTACATAAAAAGAATAGAGAGCTACTTCCGGATTAAGATCAATGATCTAGGCCCTGGCCAGACAGCTCAGTAGTTAGAGCATCGTCCTCATACTCCAAGGTTGCAGTTCGATCCCTGGTCAGGGCATGTACAATAATCAACCAATGGATGCATCAATAAGTGGAACAACAAATCTCTCTCTCTCTCTCTCTCTCTCTCCCTTCCTTTCTCTGTCTCTAAAGTCAATAATAATAAAAAGAGGACTGATCATTGATTAACGTTGGGATTTTCATCATATCAGGAATTCACACAAATTGTGTGGCTTTTATTGAACTGGGAAAGTTCTACTGTCAATCAATAGAAGTATTCTATCTTAGAAACTTATTAATATTCATTTATTTAGTATTTAATATTTACCTGTTTTAAAAGGAAGAGTAAGTAAATGCTTGAGTTATATGACTTTTTGACTTTTTAAAATCCTCACCAGAGGATGTTTTTTTAAATTGATTTTAGAGAGAGGAAAGAGAAAAATATATTTTTTTAAAAGAAAAAAAAAAGACATCTAATCTCTTTCAAAGAGATGATGTGAAAGAGTGAAAAATTAAATGCAAAGGTGCTAATTACTAGCCATGGATTCATTTTCAAGTTGTTCATTTAACTTCTACAACTAATGAGTAGAGATATACTCCACACTGCAAACCGGGGCTCCCAGAAACTCAGGTAATTAGAGTATCTCTTTATAATGGACATTATTCAGCAGGTAAGAAAAAACAAGTCAGAATGATTCCCTTTATTTGTAAAACTCATTAGTGACAAGGAAAGTACAAATAATTTCCAAAGTACTACTGTGTTGTTTTTTTTTAATAATGCAAGGAAAACAGGTGATTTTAGACTAGTAGCCACATTAAAAAAAATATATATATATATATATATATATATATATATATATATATATATGTTTTTATTGATTTCAGATAGGAAGGGAGACAGAGAGAGGGATAGAAACATCAAAGATGAGAATCATTGATCGGCTGCCTCCTGCACACGCCCTACTGGGGATCGAGCCTGCAACCTGGGCATGTGACCTGAATTGGAATCGGATCTTGACCTCCTTCCTGGTTCATAGGTTGATGATCCCCCACTGAGCGACACGAGCCAGGCCAAAGTACTACTGTTCTTGACATCTTAAAACTGACTCTGAGGATTGTGGAAATTTACTTTTCAAGTAAAAAAAACAAACAAATCCACAGATTTGGAAAAGTGACACTGATCATCTGGTTCTAAAACTTACCGTTTAGTAATCAGTATAGGTTTTTCTATTACATTGATGATTGGCTCTTACACATTCAACAGCTGGCATTAGGCCACTGTCCATGTTAAAATGACACCAGGGCTAGTCTTGGTTTTAATCTATTGATCAAATAGCCTAGAACCCAAATCTACCAGAGGAAAAGAAAAAAACACTGTAATTACAGAAGTCTGAGCTATGCCTTCATAGATTCATGATCCATGTTTTTTGAAAATTTTACTTTTTTTGCCAGAAATTTTGACTGTGTTGAATCAAAGCATCTAGGCCACCACAACTGAGTCTATTATATAAACCCATAACCATGTTACAAAATAGATGGCACAATGTGGTACAAAAATATCTTTCTAGCAACATGAGGGCGCCCTGCAGTGGGTCATGTTCAAGGGCAACTTGAATTTCCCAGGAGGGACCCAGGAGGCAAGCCCTTCAGCCCCCAACTGTACTTTGAAGAGGGGCGTTCTCTTCCCTCCAGAGCAATTCTGGGAAGGGAAGAGATCTGAGCTGCAGAGACTTGGAAACATGTGATTGTCTCCCTGGCTACATTCCAACAATCCAAGCATGAAGGTACGGGATGCCCAAGAGGTCAAATCCCCAATCTTGGCAGGTATTTTAATTCTTATAAAAATGACTCCCCACCTCTCATGATGAGCCTGTGTTTGCTGGTCACTCCACAAAACAATGCATCCTGCGGTGTGAAAGATTCGTTCCCCTTGGCCACCAATCTCTGCTCAATTGTATTAGGCCAGGGCAAACTGTGCTTCCGGATTGCAAATCTATGTCACTCATTCCTCATAACTAAGAATTTCACTTAGGTTGGAGAAGAAAGCAGGCCAGACCCTTGCTGTTCTGAGAAGTGTTTTATAAGTATTCTTCTCATACAACTGTAAAGCATCAGAGCACCGTGGAAATGTTTAGTGGGTCCTCAGAAAGGTAAATGCTGAATTACCATATGATCCAGCAATTCCGCTCCCAACTAGGCCCCCAAGAAAGTGGAAAACAGGGACACAAACAGAAATTTGTACACCGGTCTTTATAGAAGCACTGTTCACAAGAGCCCCAACGACCCATTGGCAGATGAATGAATAAGCAAATGTGATATATACAAGGGATATTATTAATTTTAAAAGAGAAATGGAATTCTGATAGGTGCTACAGCATAGATAAACCTTGAGGACATTATGCTGAGTGGAATAAGCCAGACACAAAAAGACAAACACTATATGATTTCACTTAGGTGAGTATCTAGAACAGACAGATTCATAGAGACAGAAAGGAGAATACAGTTTACCAGGGGTTGGAGAGGGGGAATAGAAAGTTATTATTTAATGTAGCAATCACCAACCGGTGGTCCACAGACCACTCATGGTCCGTGAGGTCCGAAAGGTTGGCGACCGCTGGCTTAATGGGTATAGAGTTTCTGTTGGGGATGATAAGAAAAAGTTCTAGAAGTGGATACTGGTGATGGTTGCACAACACTTTGAACATAATGGCACTAATTGGTACAAATAAAAATGGCAAATTTTATAGTATACATATTTTATCAGAATTAAAAGTAGGAGCTTCCACAACAATCCAAAATCTTACCCAATATCGATTGGGGGGAGAGACTTATAATCTGATAGATAGAGCACCTGAATTAATCTGAAAAGTAATCACATTATTTTAAATCTTAGAATACATATCCTTATGTGAATAGGGGGTTGAGTTTCTGATATGTGAATAGGGGGTTAGTTTTTCTTAAGTTTCCTTTTCAAGGCCTGTGCGAAGCGATTGGGAGGTGACTCAGCTGGGAATCCAGGAAGCAGAGCAGATAAGCATGTTCAGGCCGACCCCCCAGGAGTCAAAACATCATCTCGTCAACATGACTAAGGACAATAGCTGACGTCTGCAGACCCCCGGGCCTGCACATAGCACCCTAGCCCCTTCCCCTTTATAATCCTGTTCCTGGCACCTTGCTGTAAGACACGCGGTCTTCTTGGTGTGCTGGCCTTCTCAATAAATGCCTTATATGAGTCACCTGCCTTTGTTATTGGACACAGCGACAGGCAGCCCGAGCCCAACTGGGGGTTTCCTGGTAACAATATCCCTGTGAGAAATGCATGACCCGATCCATTATGGGCACCATCCTTTGAGCTGACTTTTCTAGATATAGGTGCGTCAGTTACATTTCAGTATTGACTATTTGTACAAAGTATTCTCAATGATACTCCTCATGGCAAACTTTTGTGTTCGCCTCAGACAATGAGCACAGCGGGCCTTGGATTTAGGAAGGAAAACTTCTGTTCTGGCCCACGGTTACCATGCCATATCGGCAACTGTCACTTTAAGATGGTGCTTGGCCAGGAACAAAGCAAACCCATGTGACAAGAGACAGAAAACACAGGAAGTCAAGTTGGCTGTGTAATGGCCTCCCAGTGCCTAGGAGTCCCTAGCTGAAGTCTGTTAAAGAGGGGCAAACAGAGACAGCCAAGAGCCAGAGATCTTGCCGTGATGTCGTCGGTGCCACCTACCTGATGAAGCAGTCCCGGCCATCCCGGCTCGCCGTCATCTCCCATCCATAGGGCGGGACCTGGTTCAAGCCCCAGGTTCCCGAGGGAGGTGGCCAGCCTGAAGACTTCGTCCTGTGGCTGCGAAAGAAGAAAGAAAAGCATCATTACAACGGACTCCTGCACATTTCTTCTGAGACGCCCAGAAGGCGCATAGGACCTGCTCCATGCAACTGTGGGCTGTATCCTCAGCTGACTGCGTGACTATGTTGTGTCAGGTATCATGCTTTGTACTTTTCTGGATAGAATCTTGCTCACTCTTTTTTTTTTAATCTTCTTTATTGATTTCAGAGAGGAAGGGAGAGGGAGAGAGAAACATCAATGAGGAGAGAGAATCATCGATCAGCTGCCTCCTGCACGCCTCCTACTGGGGATCAAGCTCACAACCCGGGCATGTGCCGTGACCAAGAAGCAAACCGTGACACTCAACCACTGACTGACATGGGCAGGGCTAGCGAAATAGTTTTGACCTAACCTCCAAAGGGGTTTAGAGCAAGCATGTCAAACTCGCGGTCCGCAGGCCGCATGCAGCACACAATGAATATTTTTGTGGCCCAGCCAATATAACAGTATGTAAGAAACGTTTTAATAAAACTTTCTTCACGTAATTTTTACAGTATCCTGTTACACATAATTATTAATAATGAACTACAACATTCGCTAATGACTGATGACTATCATCGTGTTGCATTCATTTCCTTTACGCACAGGCGCACCATTTCTCTCCACTAATACCAGCAGCAAATATTTTAGAGCCGATGGCCACGTCATTATTCCTGGACTGACTTGTCTGGTGTGCGCAACAGGAAATATTTCGCTTTCAGAGGAGAAGAAAAATAGGTTTATTTGTGTGACACTTCTTAATTTGTGCAGTTATTCAGTGTCTGGTAAGTTAATGTTCAAGAAAAATATTAATTTTTATTAAAATGTTCTATTATTAGATGTTAACAATGACTCATTTATCTCAGTCCTTTGTATTCAGCATGTCTCGAACGAAATAAACCTACGTTCCTATGAAAATTGAAGCTTTTGTTTTTTTGCGGCCCACATGCACTTACACCTTGTTTATTTGGCCCGTGTTAGCCTTTGAGTCTGACATGCATGGTTTAGAGGCTCACCCCGATCTATGAGCCTCAATTCAAGAAACCCCCACTTAATGACCCTGGAGCGCTCAGTTGCCACCAGTATTTTCAGCTACATAAGGTGTGTGTATGTGTGTGTGTGTGTGGGGGGGGGGGTTTCTCTTTAAATTATCACCACACACTTGTCTTGCATGTGACAGATTTTTAAAGGCCCAGGTCTGATATCCGGAGAGTGGTTTGATTAATGCCCGGCAACCACTGAGCCACACCGGCTGGGCTCTCGGGTGCCTTTTCCCAGAGGCCCTGTGAGGTGAATGCACTGACCCATTTTACACACGAGGAAACAATGACTGGCTCAGCAGGATGAAGCAAGTTTCCTAAGGACACACAAGCCAATTTGGAGCAAAAGTTCTGCACACTTTCCAGAAACTGAGCATTACTGAGAAAAGATTCTAGGACAGTTTGGCACATAAGTGGATATCACACCACAGTATAAACCCACGAGTCAAAATAAACTCCCAGTTTTATGGGTCTAGGGGTCAAACAACCCAAGCCTCAGTATCCTGAACGCCTCTCACAAAAGGCAAACTTTCCGCGCCTGTGACCACACTGCAAGCGAGGTGGGCCATTCAGGCCGAGACAAACGCTCCATGTCATTTGCAGCGAAAAGCCACATATCAGCTTTGGCATTTTGCCTCATCAGCAACACGGAAGGAGCGGTTACTGAGAATTTGCTGAAACGGTGCCTTCGCAAGATGAAGAGGAAGGGGGAAGTGACTCCGCGTGACCAACAGGTGGTCACCATTCCCAGCCGGAGGCCTGCGCCCCGTAGCGGGGGCTCCTGCAGAAATTCTACTGATCTCTCATCGATGCCCAAGACCCCCGCCGAGCTTATCGATGCAAAGGAAATGAGAGATACCAGTTCAGGTTGAGCAATATTGCGCTTCACGCAGCCTTTGGATCCAGGTGCAGTTACTCTCTGGATGGCCTGCCCAGGCCTCACCATCCGCCAGTCAATACCCCGCCTCGCCTCCGACGCCAGGCACCACATTCACAACTTCACTCTCAGTGGCAGATCCCATGGGAACAGCACCCAAAACCGGGGTGTCAGCCTTTCTTTTAGGATTCCTTTCTTTCTTTTTATTTATTTATTTTGATTTGTCAACCTTTCTTTAAAAAGATATCTTTTACTGATTTCAGAGAGAGAGGGAGAGGGAAAGAGAGAGAGAAACATCAATGATGAGAGAGAATCATGGATCGGCTGCCTCCTGCACGCCCCACACTGGGGATCGAGCCCCCAACACAGGCATGTGCCCTTGACCGGGAATCGGACCCTGACCTCCTGGTTCATAGGTCTACGCCCAACCACTGAGCCACGCTTGCCGGGCAGGGGTGTCAACCTTTCTGTGATGAGGAGAGACTTCATTCCCCAGGTTGCAGGGTAACGCACCGCAACCCTCCCCCCCACCTCATGCACTTGACCATGACCCAACACTACTCCCTGGGGAAGCAAGCCCATTTCCTGTAAGTACGGTGGAGAGGAACTCTTTTGCATCATGTTAACCGCCTCCCTCGCTTCTCTTGAACTTCCTTTCAGTTTTCCCACATCCATCACGAAGTGTGGTGAGCGAGAGCTCACACATTGAACCCGCGTCTGGCAAATTTAGAATGCACGGCGGGGTGATTTCTGGCCGGATGACTATTCAAAAACAAAGACTCGGGGAGAGCGTTTGTTCCTCTTCTTCGTGCAGAAGTCAGCAGCAGCCGTTTCCTCGGGCGGTGTTTTACAAAAGGTGCTGCTTTCCTGCAGCGAGAAAACACATGAATTTCCACCCCGAGCTACCCCCGAAACCGCCAATTTCTCTGCACTCGCAGGTGCATGCTTTCTAAGGGGAGGACCGAAAAGAACAGGCCCGGAGGGGTATGAACACAGTATATCCGCTGTTACAAAGGCTGGAAAAGGGTTCGTGCAGTGTGAGGTGCCACAAAGAATATTCTTGAAAGTGAAAGGAGACCTATGCTGAGAGCACAACAATTTATTCTGCATTATTAATTTATGTACTGTATCCGAATGTCCACCTTTCCCAGCACAGCTAACTTATTTTATATATATATATATATATATATATATATATATATATATATATATATAATTTTTAAATTGATTTCAGAGAGGAAGGAAGAGGGAGAAAGAGACAGAAACATCAATGATGAGAGAGAATAATTGATTGGCTGCCTCCTGCACACCCCACCCTGGGGATGGAGCCTGCAACCCTGGCAAGTGCCCTTGACCAGAATCGAACCCGGGACCCTTCAGTCCACAGGCTGACACTCTACCCACTGAGCCAAACCGGCTAGGGCTCGGCTAACTTACTGAAGACAAAACAGTACACTGTCTTTTCTCTTCTCTTTTCCTTTCTTCCCTTCTCCAAAACCCTCCACACCCACAGTCTAAATCACTAAAAGAAAGACACAGCCTCCCTAATATAATTGACATGTAAATGAAAGAACTGTAATAATGAGCTGGAGGAAGCCTGCGTTCTATTACTAGCTACATTGTGTCCTGTCCACAATGTTCAGGAAGTCGTAAGCAACAGTCCACGAAGTGGTTTCCCAATAAATCCTTTTGTCATAAAACACCAAGCGAAGCTACTGGAAAAATCCACAAACACTAATTGAGTTAATTCAGGTCAAGGGACAGCAGTTGTTACAAAACAAATAATTGAATAATTAAACTCAGACATGACTAGAAACCTGTCTGTTAATGTGTTGATATGAAATGCATGGGTCAGGGCCCTGGCCAGTGTGGGTCACTTGGTTGAGCATCATCTCATGCACCAAGGTCTCCGGTTGGATTCCAGATCAGGGCACATGCCCTGGTTGTGGGCTCGATCCCTGGTAGGTGGGATGCAGGAGGCAGCCAATGGATGTTTCTCTCTCCTTGAAGATTCTCTAGCTCTTTCTCCCTCTCCCTTCCCTCTCTCTCTCAAATCAATAAAAACATATTTTTTAAAAAAATACATGGGTCAGAAAGGCATGAGTAGAACTCAAAAACTTAAAAGGAGGAGTAGAAAAAAGATAACAGTGTTTGTACATGTGTAACAATAAGAGTCTGGAGAAAAAACAAGGACGCAGGTCATAACTGGGGGGGGCTTGGCTCCCGCGCTGTGCAGTGTGCTCACTGGAAGTCCACCCCAACCACAACACCCATCCTTGAAGCTGACAGTTTACTCTCTGCTGGGAAGGTGCTCCAGGAACCTTTTCTGAATCCCACCTCTATGGCTGCACCAAACTCCCCACCACTCCCAAATGCCGCCCATCCAATCATTGCTGAAGACATAGTTTCTTCTACCCAGAGGTGAAGAGGTGGCCCCTTGTAGAGCAGCAGCAGGGCCAGTGCATATAAACTAGCTGGTTTGGCTCAGTGGATAGAGCGTAGGCCTGCAGACTGAAGGGTCCAGGATTCTATTCCGGTCAAGGGCACATGCCTAGGTTGTGGGCTCGAACCCCAGTAGAGGGTGTACAGGAAGCAGCCAATCAATGATTTTCTTTCATCATTGATGTTTCTCCTTCTCTCTCTCCCACCCCCTTCCTCTCTGAAATCAATAAAAATATTTTTAAAAAAGAATAAAAAGAATGGGCTCTATTTTGAAGAGAGGCAAGTTGTTAACAACCCCTGACATTTATTAAGGGATTATTCGACGCCAAGCTCTGTGCTAAGGATTCTATGTTGTCTGGCTCACAATATCCTGTGTTATAAAGACTCTGCCAAATAAAGCTCCGTGTAGCCCTGGAGGGATACAGGACTCACAATGGTTTTATCCATTCTCCAAATAGAAAAGGGGCAGAAGGATCACCATCTATTTTTTGCCCCTCGTCTAGCAAGAACGGGTTAAAACTAGCCCCAGTGACACCTCTCTGTAAGGGCCAAAGTTGAAGAGTGCAAGCTGCTCTCAAAGGAGAAGAAAGTATTAGACACGTTTCCCCAGGAGCCAGGAATCCCAGCTGTGTGTGTACAGGGTCAGTTTCCACTGGTCTCGGCCCGGCCCAGAGATTCCTTGCAAGTCCGATGTTCTGTGACTTCCACTCGAGATCACGGCTGTGTGAGCCACTTTCAAACACTTAGCTCAGCCTTAAAAATAGCGACCTACATCGGCAGGGCTATTTCAGGCCCTCCGGAAACTCCCCAGGACTCACTGAACTGGTTTGCAACTTTGTGCTTCGCCCATCTATTCTCAGCAACAGATTGAAAGTGTCCTGACAAAAAAGATCTTGATGCATGAAGAGGGAGCAGCTGCGAAGGGTACAGGCACAGTTGCAGAGCTATTAGTGTTGGGACCATGGGCGAGCGACCCAGGGTCTCCTCCTGTGGGCACAGCTCTCAGCCCTGGACCAAATCTTGAGGGCAAAACTGACCCATTAGAAGTGATCTCTAGGCTACTATGGTGACCTGAGTTCCCCAGGAAACACTGCTCAGTATCAGAAAAAAAGGATGCTGTAGCCCTAGCCAGTTTGGCTCAGTGGATAGAGTGTTGGCCTGAAGGGTCCTAGGTTTGATTCCAGTCAAGGCCCTAGTCAGGGGTCGTGTAGGAGGCAACCCATCAATGTGTTTCTCTAACATCGATGTTTCTCTCTGTCTTTCCCTCTCTCTTCTACTCGCTCTAAAAACCAATGGAAAAATATCCTCGG